CTGATTTTTTGATTTATTGTAGAGATGAGGTCTCGCTGCCCAGGAGGGTCTTGAACCCGTAGGCTCAGGCGATCCACTCACCTCAGCCTCCCAAAGGCGTGGGATTACAGGCTGAGCCACCGAGCCTGGCTCCTTCTGAGCTTTTTAAATATTAGAGGAAGCGAGGTGGATGGCCATGGTGGCTCATGCCTATGATTCCAGTACTTTGGGAGACTGAGGCAGGAGAATCACTTGAGGTCAGAAGTTCAAGACCAGCCTGGGCAACATAGTCAGACCTTGTTGAAAGAAAAAGAAAAAGAAAGGAAGGAAGGAAGGAAGGAAGGAAGGAAGGAAGGAAGGAAGGAAAAAGGAGGGAGGAAGGGAGGGAGGGAGGAAGGAGAAAGAAAGGGAAAGAAAGAGAGAGAAAGAAAGAAAAAGAAGAGGAGGGGAAGAGAAGGGAAGGGAGGAGGGAAGAAGAGAGGGAGGGAGGAGGGGGGAGAGGAAGGGAGGGAAGGAAGAGAAAGAAAGGAAAAGAAAGAAAGAAAGAGAAAGGAGAAAAAATATTAAAGGAAATGTTGGTGAGGGAGGTTTTTACTTAGCAAAATGTAAAAATGTGTTTATTGAGTTTTAAAATTAAACTTTGGCCAAGTGCGGGGCTCATGCCTATAATCCCAGCACTTTGAGCGTCTGAGGTAGGAAAATCGCTTGCGTTCAGGACTGGTCTGGGCAGCATAGTGAGACCTCATCCCTACAAAAAAATACAAAAAGATTAGCTGGGCATGGTAGCATGTGCTTGTAATGCCAACCAACCGGGAGGCTGAGGCAGAAGAATCACTTGAGTCCAGTAGATGGAGGCTGCGGTGAGCTGGAATTGCACCATGGCACTCCAGCCTGGGCAAAAGAGTGAGACCCCGAGTCAAAAAAAAGAAAAGAAAAGAAAAGTAAACTTGATACTCTAAAGTCATAAATAACACTCTAAGTAGAGTGAGGGTGATTTCTATTGCAGAACATGCATTTGCTTCCCGGACTAGGTGGTCAAGCATAATAAGACGTGGGGGCGGGTATTGTTTGTAGGTGTTTTCAGGATCAGGAAGGCGTGCTCCACCACCAGCAACGCTGAGTGTGTCTGCATCTCAGGATACCACTGCTTGGAGGCAGGATGCACCATGTGTGCAAAGGATTGTGAACAAGGACAAGAATTAACCACAGAGGGTAAGTTTGCTCTTCTTCAATCTCACGCAAGGTGTGCAGACATATGTCATTAGCTTAGATCCTGAGCCGTTGAATATGAAAAGATCTGTAGGACCTTAAAGTAACAAACCAATCAGTCAAGTATATCATATTAATATCATGTTTCCTAATGTATTTTAATTCATAAAATCATATTTCCTTTATTTTCCCATAAGTGGAAATAATTTGAAATCTGAAAAAGTATTTATCACCAGATCCATGCACTTTCATGCATTTTAGACATACATGAAACTCTGTGTTACAGTTAGATTAAAAACTAGTGACCTTAGGGTCTCGTTTCTAGAATTGTTGGCCAACTTGTACAGGATGTAGTAAGGTAGCAATTTCACTCTGTTTATCACAGGAAAAGACATCAAATGAGGACAGTGCTTCCTATTCATTTTTTTTTTTTTTTTTGCTTCTGTTTTTTTGCAAAGGTTGTAAAGACTGTCGCTTTGGGACATTTAATGATGAGAAACATGGCATCTGTCAGCCCTGGACAAAGTACGTATACTTTCCTTTCGCTTACAAAATGAAGCATCTGGGTGAAATGTTTTAAAGACCAGGAAGGTCATCACCGACGCTGTTCTACACCCATCAGTGTAGACAGAAAGGGACGCACTGACAGGCAGTGTGGGTGGACCGTGAGAGCAGAGTCACTCCATGTGCACAGTGGGCATTTTCTCCAAAAGTCATGCCCAGGGCACCTAGATCAGCATTGCTGGGCACCCCTGCCACGGCCTGTACACGTGGCCTTCTGTTCTGTTTCCTTTGACTGCCTTTGCCTCTTGCTTTCCCCCGGGGCCCTGCCAGTCTCCAAGTGCTCAATGCCAGTCCTGTGAAGCACCCAGAAAAAGGGTCAAAATTGCCTGTCACCCTCAAAATGCCACATGCGCTTGGGCACGTAAAGCCAGCACAGGCTGTAAAAGGCCAATGGTATCTGAGAGAATGTGGCTGCTGACTATGGGACCTGTGCTTGTCAAACTGTGGTATGCAGACAGGCGTTTAGGCCATAAACTGTTTGTTGGATATCCCAACATCAGCATTAAAGGCTCAAAGAATGCATGTTTAGAGATCTCAAAAAATAAAATTAAATTTAAAAATAGAGACAGGGTTTCACTGTTAGCCCAGGCTGGTCTCAAACTCCTGGCCTCAAGCGATCCTCCTGCCTCAGCCTCCCAAAGTGCTGAGATTTTGGGCATGAGCCACCATACCTGGTCCTGTGTTTAGAGATTTTTAAGGCAATGTGGCAGAGTAATGTGGTTTGTCAACTAAGAATAAACATTTAGACCTCATCTTTTTTATGCCTTTGTTCTTTTTTCATTTGATCTTCTTACTAGAAAATCATTTTAATTATGATTTTATATTTATGTCTGTATTATATTTACAAATGAATTGGTTTGTTTGTAACATATTAGAAAGTTGGCAAAAAAAAAAAAGTTGGCCTTTTTGTTTGTTTGTTTATTTTTTAGTTGGAATCTCTAAAGGCTGAAGTGCAGTGGAATGCTCATGGCCACCGTAGTCTCAACCTGCTGGGCCTAGGCGGTCCTTCCACTTCAGCCTTCCAGGTAGCTGGAACTATAGGCACGTGCCACCATACCCAGCTAACTTTTTGATTTATTGTAGAGATGAGGTCTCGTCAAGTTGCCCAAGCTGGTCTCGAATCCCTGCTCTCAGGCAATCCTCTCACCTCTGCCTCCCAAAGTGCTGGGATTACAGGTGTGAGCCTTTGCTCCTGGCTGGGGTTTTTTTTTTTTTTTTTTTAAAGGTCTTTCAACACCAAAGTGTTCAGAGTAGTCAAACGAGTCTGTGTGGAAAAGTGGGTTTGATCTAGGCTTTGGGAGATGCGTAGGCGTTTGATAGATAAAGGCATAACAATCACAATGATGATAATGATGACAGCTATCATTTACTCTTGTGTGTTGGGCATGGAAAAGTGTCACTGACACTCACTTGCTATTCACAAGAGACCTGGGAATCCATACAGTCCTTAGTTTGCAGATAAGAAAACTGAGGCTTAGAGATATCTTAAAACTTGCCCAGGGTCATTCTGGAAAGCGGCAGACCTGGACATAAACCCTGGATTCTGCTGCCAGTGCCAGAACTCCTACCTCCACGCTCTCCCATGGTCACGTGTGATCAGAAGCTGGGGCGAGAGACTGAGCAGGCAAGACATCCTGGACTAAGCTGTCCTGGACCAGGAAGGAGCCAGGAACAGATGAAGGAAACGTGTGGGCAGTGGAAGCTTCTCAAAACACCTTGGCCTTGCCCACAGACCCAGACCCACCTATCTCTGTCACTCAGCTACTTCATGGGGTGAAAAATGTCCAAGTTTTACATCGGAATGTTCCGGGCCTAAACGGATGTTTTGAACTTTTCCCATGGGCCTGTCGCAGCTGCTCTTTGGATGGCAAGTATGTGCTTGTGCATGGGACCAAGAAGAGTGACGTGGTTTGTGGACCAGTCCCGGCCGACTTCACTCCAGGTATATCCTCTGCGACCACGCCTGCCCCTGCCACCGAGCCAGGTAGCTAGCTGGTTTGTTACTGCAAAATCAAAGTGAATATACTATAGCTATTCCAGATTGTGTCTAAATCGCCCCAATATCACAATGTCTGACGTCTCCACCTACCTCCGATGTGCCTTCCTTCTCGTGTCCTGCCTTCAGGGACCCATCAGTGTTTTCTCAGGTGTTCTCAGGTGGCAGTCTGGGATACCTTTATCAATGCCAAGGAGAGAGGAGTCGAGGGTTCAATATTTTCTATATGCTAGAAAGTCCAAATCACTTAATTTTTGTGGGCTCCTAGGAGAATTATTGAGTTTTTAAAAAATTTTCAGGCCAGGTATCATGGGTCATGCCTGTTAATCCCCACCCTTTGGGAGACCAAGGTGGGAGAATGGCTTGAGCCCAGGAGTTTGGGACCAGCCTGGGCAACATAGTAAGACCTTGTCTCTACAAAAACTTTAAAAAAAAATTAAGCCGGGCTTGGTGGCTCAGCCTGAAATCCCGCACTTTGGGAGGCCGAGGTGAGTGGATTGCTTGAGCCTGTGAGTTCGAGACCCGCCTGGGCAACTTGGCGAGACTTCATCTCTAAAATAAATAAAAAATTAGGCAGGCGTGGTAGCATGTGCCTGTAGTTCCAGCTCCTTGGAAGGCTGAGGCGGAAGGATCGCTGGAGCCCAGCAGGTCAAGGCTACGGTGACCGGGAGCGGCCACTGCACTCCAGTCTGAGCGACAGAGTGAAACTCCAACTCAAAAAGAAAAAAAAAAAATTAGCTGGGCATGGTGTCCCAGCTGTGCTGGAGGCTGAGGCAGAAGGATTGCCTGCGCCCAGGAAATTGAGGCTGCGGTGAGCAGTGATAGTGCCACTGCACTCCAGCCTGGGCAACAGAGTAAAACTCCAATTCAAAAAAATTTTTTTTTCTAAGTTGTTTGCTAAGCTAGCGGGTTGGAGAGGTCCAAGGCTCTGACTGTCCTCATGCTGCAAACATAAATCCGAGTGTATCAGCATAAATCAGCCTGCATTTCTCCTTTTGCTTTTTTTTCAAGGCTTCTCTCCACAGATCCTCACCTTCTTTCTTGCGCTGACGTCTGCCACGTTGCTGTTCCTGCTGTTCTTCCTGATGTTCCGTTTCTCTGTTGTTGGACGCGGCAGAGAGAAACTCCTGTATATATTCAAACAACGTAAGACCAATGACATGGGATTAGGCATTATTTACAGTAGAAGGGAAAAGATGACTTTATGAGAAGTTATAGAAATGAGGCTCTTATAGCACAGTGGTTATCTATCACACAGGGGCAATTTTGTTCCAAGGGAGCACTTGGCAATGTCTGGAGACAATTGCTGTGGTCATCCTGGGTGGCAGTGGTGGTGGGTGCTGGTAAGAGGTCAGTGATGTTGCTGCCCCCCTACTGGGCATGGGCCAGTCCCCCAGCAGAGAATGACCAGCCCCAAATGTCAGCCAGGCAGCCAGGCGCAGTGGCTCATGCTTGCAATCTCAGCACTTTGGGAGGCCGAGGCGGGAAGGTTACTTGAGTCCAAAAGTTCAAGAGCAGCTTGGGCAACATAGTGAGACACTGTCTCTACAGAAACTCGAACAAACAAACAAAATTAGCTGGGTATGGTGGCACACGTCTGTAGTTCCAGCTACTTGGGAGACTGAGGCGGGAGGATCGCCCGAGCCCAGGACTTTGAGGCTGTGGTGAGCCATGATCATGCCACTGCACTTCAGGCTGTGTGACAGAGTGAGACCTCAACTTTTAAAAAAATGTTTTGAGGCAGAGAAAGCCTGGGTGTAGCAGACCACACCCCAGTTCCAGAAAGATGAAAAGTTATAAGTGTGTGGTGTGTGTGTGTGTGTGTGTGTGTGTGTGTGTACACTGTCAAAGAAGAACCAGGAGTGTCCTCCCCTGCTCCTCTGGTTGGCAAGCGGGCCTAACCTGGGTTTAGACCCACGCTTGAGGAAGGCCCAGAGAATGAAAGAGGGAGTTTGAAGTGGGTTTAATGAAATGGATTTTTATAACACCAGTGTGGATTAAATGCAAACTTTCAACAATGGATTTCATTCATTCACACTTTAAACAAGATGTTATTTCTAGAAGGTACCCGGCAAGTGTCTGGCATGGAGTCAGCATCCACTAAGCAAAAGTCATTGATATTTACTTGAAAACATTTATAGTTGGAGGACAGTCTGCTTTTTGCTTTTTGTCTTCGTGGAGGACAGAACAAGACGCAACAGGTTTAATAAGACTTCATTGGGGGGATTCACATACAGGTGAAGCTTTGGAAGAGCAAAGTTTTAACCTAAAACACCATAGTAAGAAAAGAGTGTGTCTAGTTGGGAGTTATTAAAAAGTATATGAGAGGAAAGCATTGGTAAACTCTTATCTAAAGATGCGCTATACTAATTTACTGAAAGTTCTTCCAGAAATAATATAAAACTCTTTACATTGTAAAAAATACATAAAAACACATAAATGTAAAATTTAACCAATTGTTGTAAAATAGACATCCGAATAACCCTACCTGGGTCAAGAAATAGAACACAGTCTACTCCCAGAAGGCCTTGGTGTCCCCTTGCAGATCACAGCCCACCCTGCCCATGGCTGCAAACCACATCTAGATTTCACGGTACTCACTTCCTCGTTCTCTATAGCTCTGCTACCTAAAAACACAGTTTTATTTGGTGGCTTGTGAGCATCATGCAAGTGGAACCCAACTCCCCACATTCTTCTGCATCTTGCTTCTTTTGCTTCTTTCGCTTTGCATTGTGTCTTTAATATCCATCCACGTTGGGTTCATCTTCAGTTAATTTCCATTGTTGTATACTCTTCTCTTGTGAGTTTTTTTTTTTTTTTGAGTTGGAGTCTCACTCTGTCGCCCAGACTGGAGTGCAGTGGCCGCTCCTGGCCACCACAGCCTCAATCTGCTGGGCTCCGGTACTCCTTCCGAGTAGCCGGAATTACAGGCACGGGCTACCATGCCCGGCTGATTTTTTGATTTATAGTAGAGATGAGGTCTCACTGCCCAGGCAGATCTCGAACCTGCGGGCTCAGGCAATCCACTCACCTCAGCCTCCCAAAGGCGCGGGATTATAGGCTGAGCCACCGAGTTCACTCTAAGATTGATGGACACTGGGGTTGTCTCCAGATTGGGACTATTATTGACAATGATGTTTGAATATTTTTGTCTCAGTTCACATGATAGGCACGTGTTTCTGTTTTGTTTCTGTTCTTTAACCTAGGACTAACATTGCTGAGATATGAAGAACATGCATCTTGGTCCTCAGTAGATACACCAGATTGTTTTCCAGAATGGTTGGACGCCATCTACCCTCCCCCAGCTGTATGAGAGTTCCTTTCGGTCCACGTCCTTTCTAACATTTGATATCATCAGACTATTTTTATTTATCCGGTGGGTAGGTAGTAGTGTCTCACTGTGGTTTTAATTTACATTTCCCCAGTGAGGTTAGACACCTTTTCATGTTATATTGGTCATTTGGGTTTCCTCTTTTGTGAAGTGACAGATCAAGTCTCTTGAGCATTTTTCCATGCTTGTCTGTCCTTTTCATATTGATTTGTAGGAACTTCTTAGTCTGATGTTCTTGTGCTGTGAATATCTTTTTCTTTTCTGTGGTTTGTGCTTTCATTCTCTTTTTGAGGTCTACACCTCTGACTTAAACTTCTAAACTCTCACCTGATCCTGATTTTTAAAAAATCTCTCTCTTCCCTACCCTGAAACTACAACAAAGTTCTTTACAAAATGCTTTTCAAAAGTTTTTATAAACAATTAGTGAGTTGCAATGGAAATGTAACCCATTTGTTTAAAAATGTTGAGGTCATTCAAAATAACTTTTTTTTTTTGGAGTTGGCATCTCACTCTGTTGCCCAGACTGAAGTGCAGTGACACGCTCACAGCCGCCACAGCCTTGACCTCTGGGCTCAGGCGATCCTTCCGCCTCAGCCTTCCAAGTAGCTGGAACTACAGATGTGTGCCACTGCACCAGCTAATTTTTTGATTTACTGTAGAGACGAGGTCTTGCCAAGTTGCCCAGGCTGGTCTTGAACCCTTGGACTCAGGCAATCCTCTCACTTCCACCTCCCAAAGTGCTGGGATTGTAGGTGAGAGCCATTGCACCCGGCTCATTCAAAATGACTTTTTATTTGGAAATAATTACAGACTTATAGGAAGATGCAAAGACAGTATGAAAAAGTCTCATGTGCCATTCATGGGATCACATCTTTTTTTTTTTTTGAGTAGGAGTCTCACTCTGTGCCCAGGCTGGAGTGCAGTGGCATGCTCACGGCCACCGCAGCCTCAACTCGCTGGGCTTAGGTGATCCTTCTGCTTTAGCCTTCCAAGTAACTGGAACTACAGACGTGCGCCACCATGCCTGGCTAATTTTTTGATTTTATTGTAGAGATGAGGTCTCACCAAGTTGCCCAGGCTGGTCTCGAACCCCTGGGCTCAGGCAATCCTCTCACCTCGGTCTCTCAAAGTGCTGGGATTATAGGTGTGAGCCACTGTGCCCGGCCTATACTTCTTTTTCAGAATTGTTGGAGCTATAGCTCCTTTGCAGTTTCATATACATTTTAGGATAATCTTATCTGTATCCACAAAAAGTCAGCTGGGATTCTGATAGCAATTGTGTTAAGCTGGTATATCAGTTTGGGAAGGATTAACTTTTACTTTTTCTTTTCTTTTTCTCTTTTGAGTTGGAGTCTCACTCTGTTGCCCAGGCTGGAGTGCAATGGCATGCTCATAGCTCACCACAGCCTCTTGGGCTCAGGCCATCCTTCAGCTTCAACCTCCTGAATCGCTGGGATTACAGGTGTGCCCCACCATGCCTGGCTAATTTTTTGATTTTTTGTAGAGACAAAGTCTTGCTATGTTGCTTAGGCTGGTATCAAACTCTTGTACTCAAGCAATCCTCCCGCCTCAGCCTTCCAAATTGCTAGGATTACAGGTGTGAGCCGCCCCTCCCAGCCCAGAATTGACGTCTTTGCTATGTTACATACAGTCGTGCCTCACTTAATATGGGGTTATGTTCTTAGAAATGTGTCATTAGGCAATTCTGTCATTGTGCAAACATCACAGAGTTTGCAATGGAACTTACAAAGACCTAAATGGTATAGCCATACACACCTAGGCTAGCTGGTTACAGCGTATTGTTCCTAGGCTACAAACCAGTACAGCATGTGACTACTGAATACTGTAGGCAATTGTAACACAATGGCAAGTTTTTGTGTATCTAAACATATTTAAACATAGAAAAGGTACAGTAAAAATATAGTATTTTTTTTTAGTTGGAGTCTCAGTCTTGTCGCCTAGGCTGGAGTCCAGTGGTCCATTATGGCCACCGCAGCCGCAACCTGCTGGGCTTAGGCAATCCTTCCGCCTCAGCCTTCCAAGTAGCTGGAACTACAGATGCGTGCCACTAAGCCCGGCTAGTTTTTGTGATTTATTGTAGAGACAAGGTCTCACCAAGTTGCCCAGCCTGGTCTTGAACCTCCGGGCTCAGGCAATCCTCTCGCCTCAGCCTCCCCAAAGTGCTGAGATTACAGACAGCCACTGTGCCTGGCCAAAAATATAGTATGCTAAAAAAAAATTTAAATATAACCGTAGTTTTATTCATGAATTCTTTGAGCATGGGTCCACTGATTGAAAATTCTTGTATAAACCCCCCACACTGCGTTGGATAAAAATTTCAGTCTAGGACAAGCACAATGGCTCACGCCTGTAATCCCAACATTTTGGAAGGCCGAGGTGAGGGGATTGCCTGAGCCCACGGGTTCGAGAACAGCCTGGGCAACTCAGCGAGACCTCATCTCTACAGTAAATTAAAAAAAATAGTCAGGTGTGGTAGCGCGCACCTATAGTTCTGGCTACTTGGAAGGCTGAGGAGAAAGGATCACCTGAGCCCAGTGGGTCGACCCAGAGGTGGCCATGAGTGTGCCATTGCACTCCAGTCTGGGCAATGGAGTGAGACTCCAACTCAAAAAAAAAAATTTTTTTTTTTCAGTCTATTTTTTAAAGCAGAGCAGAGACTTAAGACATGTAAAAATATTTGTGTGCAGAATCCTTCAGGATTTTTTTTTTTCTCATATCTTTTCTAATTCTTAATTATACTTTTGCAGCAATCTTTAAAAGCTATATTAAGTCTTCCAAAGCAGTGATCCATGAA